TCCCGGTCTCGTCGAGACCGCCTGTCTGTTCGGCCGTTTCCCCTGCGGGCGCCCCCTCGGAAAGGGCCTCCATTTGTGGCCTGCCTGCGCCCAGCAGAGGGACAGGGCTGGACTGCAGCTCCCTGCGAGGCCGTCCGCCACCCTGCGCACCTCCAGGCTAGGCGTGCCCTGCCCCTCCTGTCCCCGCAGGCAGCTCCGGAGAGTGCCAGAGGAGCTGGGCCTCGGAACCACACAGGCGGCCTCCGGACCTGGCCAGGGGAGGTTGGGGAGCCTGCCTGAGCCCAGCCGATGCCAACAGCTGGAGCTTATGTCCCATCCTGGCCCCTGTGCCCCGGCGTGCCCCTCCACGTCCACGCATCGAAGCCCTAACCCTCAAGGTGGCTGAATGAGGTGGTAGGGCCAGGCGCCATCCAGGCCTGGCGTCTGTGTGCAGAAGGGGCCCTGGAGAGGCTCCGGAGAAGTGCGGTTGAGCTTGGGTGTGTTACCGAACTCCAATCAGGCGCTCGCACAAGCACTGCGGACTAAACTAGACGCGGGGAGACGGAGAGGACAGCTTTATTGCCGAGCAGGGAGAGCGGGCAGCTCAAGCCGAAAAGCCCAACTTCCCCGAGGTGTTTCCACACACACTTTTTTTGGAGAGGTTTATTCGCTATAGGGCGCAGGTCACCCCCCAGGGGGAATGGCCACGCCACAATCCCTTCTCCTCTTGGGATCTTGGGCACACATGGAATGACTTTAAGCCACGGGGACCGGGACTCAAACAACGGTCGACTACATGGGAGTCCAGTGACAGCCATTATGCTAACTGCTGCCCCCCAGCCCCCCACTTTCTTAGGGGCAGAGGTCCCAGTCGATGATTGGTTCAAGAGGGGCATGGTCAGTGATCACGCTTGGCCCTTCTTGATGTTGGAGGCCTCAGATAATCCCAAAACTCAATCCCAAGAGAGGAAAGCAGAAGGGGTTACCTGCGCCCCATAGCAAAAGTCTCGCCAAAAAGAAAAAGTCTTTCATTCAAACGAGAGCTTCAGAGGTCTGACAGCCCTCGTTCATGGCCAGTGTTGATTTATTACCATAACCGAAGTCTGAGGGCTTACCCCTCACTCTGGGCCGCTACAGTGTAAATCGACCTTCATCCCATGCGTCATAAAAATACACTTCACTTTTAGCTCAGCCTGAATTACTTTTCAGCTTGGGAAATTCTTACTTTTTCTTTAACAGAAAGAAGGGGAAACTGAGGACCAGCCCTTTTAGTGGGCCCGGCTCAGTTTCAGAGGTCAGGCTCCAGAACGAGAAGCCCCACTCTGCTCGACATCGCTTCCCTGGTTCCCAGGCCCACCCCAGCATACCCAGAGGCCTGCCGGGACGAGGCGTGTGGCGGTCCTTGGCCACTGGAACGCTGCCCCTACCATCATGTGGCCTCCATCTCTGTCTTCACACATTGCTCGGTGTCACGTGGGCCAGCCCTGCTCCAGAGTGGCACCACTTACCTACCTGAGTGCATCCGCGACGCCCCATCTCCAAGGAAGAGACGGGGCTGAGGACTCAGTCCCATGTCTCTGGGCCACTGTCCCACCCACCACCCACTGTTGCTGGGCCTGAGCTGGGCTAGGGGCCACCAGCACTAGCTGCCCTGAGCCGCAGCGTGCAGAAACAGCAGGGGCAGGGGGAGCCGGCCAGTGCACGGCGGCTGGCCTGGGTGGAGCCGTCCTGCCCCTAGAGGTGACCCTGGCACCCATGCCCTGCCCAGCCCAGAGCAGATGTCCGTGCACGTCTGGACAGCAGGTTGCCTTCCTCTGAGGAGGGGCAAAAAGACCCGAGGCCATGGCTCAGCGCTGGTGTGGCTTAGCCTGTGGCTGAACTGTCTGGGGTGTGGAGGGCTTTGGTGGCAGCTCACAGGTCCAGGGGCGGCCTGACCCGGAGGCCCCGGGGCAGTAGACTGGGCTACCTGCAGAACCTGGTCGGTTGCCCTGACCCAGAGCTCTTCCAGGAAGAGGTCGGCCTGGGGCTGCTGGCTCACCTCCGGGCGCGCCCCAGGGCTATGTGCACAGGCCCGGACCTCTGCCCCTTGAGCAGGAGGGAGGGCTGGGCGGCCTGCATGGGCGAGCAGGCCCCCTCCCCTCAGTCCGGCTGCTCCTCGATGGCTCCAGGCAGGAAGTGTGTCAGAAGGAAGGGCCTGCCGAGGCCTGCTCCTGCTTCCTGGCCTGCTGGGTCTGGCTGCTCCAGGAGGGAGTGGGCAGAGTTCGGGCTAATTCCCTGCAGGGGTCCTGGGCAGCAGGAGCCCTGTGCCTGTGGGAGTTGCCTGCAGCCGTGGGGGTGCGCCGGAGGGGCCTGCTCCCAGGAGCAGGGAGTGTGTTCTCAAGCCTGGACAAGCAAGAGGGGACAGCCCTCTGAGGGAACCAGGGATCAGCCTCCTGCAGACGGAAGCAGGGAGCCCCGCAGCAGCCCAGAAAGGCCTGGCAGGAGCCACGACCACGGCTGCTTCCTGAGGTCAAGACCCAGAGGCGGGACTGTGGCCGCCAGGGATCCCGGCACAGGCCTGGCAGCACAGGGGTCACTCCATCCGGCGGGAGGTGGGAGCTGGCATCACTCTGACCTGTGCAGAGGGCAGACAGGAACAGGTGACAGGCAGGCTAGGCCCTGGGGACTGAGACCACGAGGCTGCCACTCTGGGCAAAAGCGAAGAAACCACAGCGGGGTGCCGAGGGGCTGGTGCAGCCCCTCCCCTGCAGCACGCCGGTCTGTGGGCCGGGCTGCTGCCTGCCCGTACCCCCGAGGTGCCCAAGCTCTGCGCCCACCACCAGCTGGGACTGTGGTCCAGTGCTACAGGAAGTCCGGTCAAGCCCCACTCTCTCCTGGCTGGGAGCAGAGCCCAGCCACAACACGCCGCTCCTGGGCCCTTGGCCCCACAGCCCCTTCCCACGGCCAGTAAAAGTCTAGGGGCCTCAGGAGGGACTGTGGACACGGACTTCTAGGGGCCTCAGGAGGGACTGTGGACACGGCCTCTGGGGCAGAGGTGGTGACAGGACCAGGACAGCACAAGCCTGTCCCTCTGGGGCAGGAAGGGGAGTGACCCGACGTGTGTGCAGCCCCTTTGGGCTGAGTCGGACCGAGGCCTGACTTGGGCTGCACTCCCAGCTGAGCCCCAGGCCTCCACCCCCAGCAGGTGTGGACAGTGTGGGAAGAGGGCAGGCCCCAGGCAGCAGGGGCCTTCGGAGCTGCACAGGAGCACAAAGCCAGGCACGGGCTAGGGCTTCCACGGGGCTGCGAGTGTCACTGGCCAGGAGGTCTGTCGCGTGAGGCCGAGAAGTAGCCCCTGCGTTTGCATGGAGGCGGGCAGCATGTGTCTGCACACCTCCCAAGTGCAGCTGCCGATCGGCACGGGGTGGGAGCAGCACCCTCGCACTGTCCGAGGTGCGGCCAGTAGCGTCTGTGGCCCAGCTGC